TGTGAGTAACCTTAGGGAAAGTTGGCCTATCTCCATGGTGCCCTTGTTAAAAAATACCTCCTCTACGCTTTACAACCCTTCATTCAGGGTGCAGACTGCTGTGATTTTTCATGTGGCTGAGCTCAAGATTTGGACAGGAAGGGAGAGGAGAGTGGTGGGTATATGTTTTATACACACAAACACACCACACACACACACACACACACACACACACACACACACACACACACACAGAGTAGGGCTAGCTCAAAGACAGCCTAAAGAAGCCTGAACACTAGTGGGAAAGCAACAAAGGGCAGAAAAAAGACATCACAGTCGTCTATCTCATTTCAAATTTCTTTGTAGAGCTGGCCCTCCGCCCAGAGTTATGGAAGAAATAGCTCCTGCTATTTTCCTTGAGCACAGACAATCAGGGCCCCACTTTCCAAGACTCACATCTCCTGACAGGAACAGTTTTTTGGACTTGTCTGGGAACCTCACCCCTATAATGACATTGTTTCCTTGGGAAAATGAGTATGGATTCTAAACCATCTATTTATTAATCTATTTTCCAAACACAACTCCATTCACACATTAGATTCTATCTATGCTGTCATTGTGGGTATTCTGTGGAACATAGATTCCTAGAAATTTAGGCCTGAAAATTCTGCTATCTCCCAACTCCTACGATGGCAGAGAAATGACTGGCTTTACCCTCCAGAGTCTCAATCCAGCAGGAGTCAGCTGACAGCTGTTTTAATTCCTAGGTGCTTAGCTGGGTAGTCTCTGCAATTGGTTAATAGAGAACCACAGGACCAGCTGACTACATGGGGACTTATCACTTAGCCTTTTGCAGTTTGTGTAGTTGTAAAATACAGCTGAGATAAGTAGAAGCACAAAAAAACCAAGGGCCTAACTTCTCGGGAGACTATCATGTATAGATGGGAATTACCAAGTATTACTGTCATTTCTAGACCATAAAGATTCACTAATCTAGCAGTATGGCATTTATATGTACTCTTCTCTGGGGAAAAAGGAAATGGTGGTAATAATTAGTACACACAAGTGCTTCAGCATTTATAAGCCACTTTAATATTTATTATTTCATTTGACTGGTAGGAAGGCTTAGCAGGGCTTGTATTGTACATACCACATTTACCTCTGTGGACCAAGTCAGAGGCTGTTTTCCAAAGGCCAACTGCTGTGTCTGAGGTCCTCCAGCAAGTGATGGGGAGTCTGGGGGGATGCAGTGGTCAGGGTCAGGTCTTTATATTAACTCCAATACCCTTTTTTCTGTTCTGTTCCACACTATGCTTTTCCTAATTAATCTTTAGTCTAATTGGTCACTGAGGACAAATTTCATGTCTCTGAACATAGAAGCATCATTATGCAAAACAAGGATTAGAGGGCCAGATATATCATTTTCTATTACCCTAGCTAATTAATAATTTTAGAGTCTTTTAATTCAGTAGTAGGCAGGTTACCTTCAGGTGATGAAATACAACATATCTCATTTGCAATACTAATGTTTAAAGTTTGTGACTGATTTTAGGTGACCACAACAGTCAATAGTAGTGTCAATCTCCCAGACTATAAGCAGCTAGAGGGCAGCAGTATTTTCTTATTTTTTGTGTCACTGAAACTCAGCAGAGACCCTGGTATAGAGCCAGCACCCAGAACATTCTGTTCAATGTAATGGTCAGATCGAATGGGAACCATGGTCTCCAGAGACTAGGAGTGGCTTGTAACCAACACACAATCAAACAGTAGCTTTGCAATGACCCTGAAATGTCCCAGATATATACAGAGGTCCATGGTTATTTACATAACTTCAATAAAGAAATCAAAGAAACTAGTAAGTAACTCCAGTGTTCTCCAAACCTCCAGGGCTTTACAACTGAACAAGGACAGTCTCTACACAGGAGACTTAAGTTTGGGATAGAGGGAGAGGGAGAGGGAGAGGGAGAGGGAGAGGGAGAGGGAGAGGGAGAGAGAGAGAGAGAGAGAGAGAGAGAGAGAGAGAGAGAGAGAGCAAGCTACCAATTTTGTGGAATATCTCCAAGTACAGTAAAATCTGACTTGATGTTCTTTATGCTGCTAAGGAATAAGTGAAGAGAACAGACAAAGGTAAAAACTGTCAGGAAGACTCTGGCTCCACAGCCAGCGTAGGTCAAATCTGAGGCTACAAGAGTTTTGAGATTTCTTATGAGAAACTCAAGTAAGAAAAATACAGTGAGTCATTTCATAATAATGCCCTTGCTTCCCAAAGTACACAGCTCAGTTCCCACATCCCAAGCACATGGACATGGTGCAGGGCTACTGCAACAGGAGGGCCTTCCTCTACTGTCTGTGCCTGCATAGGCAGACAGTTGACAAAGTGGGAATAGATTTCGCTGGCACGGTGGTAAAGGGACAGCAAGAACTACTCTCACTTTGCTCTGTAGAGGAAGGGGATTTCTCTGCTTCTTCTGTGCTGTGTGATCTGGCATATGTTCTTCAATGCAGCTACCTTGAAGAACTAGGGTGCTAAATACTGCTGGCTTCCTAGTCTGAAGGCTGAAAGAGTCCCCTGGCAAAGTAGATGCTCTCAGATTCCCTAACAAATTCTCACTGAAGACAAAGGTGATCCAGAGAGCATGGGGAACTTAAGGAGAACTCCTTAATGGCTACAGTCCCAGTGAGAGGTTGAAGCTGCTCTCAGGTACAAGATCACCCCCCCACCCCCATCACTTCTGTGAATGGCAAAACAGCGGGTTATATAAACAACTATAAGAAAATAACTCTAGTTTATTGCCAATATAGTTTCGTGGGGAGCCAAGTTCCCAAGCTTTACCTAGTCAGAAATTCCTTAGGATGATAAGCAGGACAGAGTGAGATCGACCCTGCCTTTTTGTAAACATCACTGTAAAATGGAAAGAAATTCAAATGCTTGGGGAAGAGGCTGATCATTAGTTTTGGGTGTTTGAAGTACATCATGAGAATTCATTTCTTCTTTCTCTGCCAGGAGGCATCAGGAAGGGTGAGGCTGTTTACTGATCTCTAAATAGCTAAAACAGGTGGACTCTGAAGAGGTCAGATATCAATGGTAGAAAGACAGTATGACTGGCCTGATGAGGGACTGAAGGAGGGCCTGGGCATTTCATAGCTCCTAGTGACAACATACCTGAGAAAGGGGTGGGCTGAAGAACCTGAGGAGGAGAGGTACTCAGCTAAAGTTGGAACATTTGTGGCAATGGTGCTGTGTGGTAGTACTGACTCTTGTTTTTGTTGCTGGGAAATGTGACTGGAAAGGGAGACATAACCAAACAGAGCCACCAAAACCAACAAAGGAACCATGGGATATAAATGGCACTTTTCTTATGACATGCTCAACTTTGATTGTGTTGATTTTTACCTACTAAAGATCAGAACATGTTAAAAATAAGGAACTCAAACTGCCCATGTAAAATGTCCAGGCTGGTTAAGGATGAAAGTTCTCAATAATCAGGAAGTTCTCCGGATTACAGGATTTATATAACAGCAGCTACAGAAAACTTACATCTGTACAAATACCAGAGCCCCTAAGGGGATAACGTTTCCTTTGTATTCAGATGCTTTAATTCCTCCTTAACAATTTAAGATATTAAGTATTAACATTACACATCAGATATAAGATCTGATTTCTCCTGTATCCCATCTGAAAGCAATAACATTCTGGTAGAGTTAATTGTTTTTTTTTTAAAACCACAGATCAATTCTTTCTTGCTCTGAAAAATCAGTTAAGAAATATATGCCAACAAAATTACTTTAGTATTTATTAATCTTCTCAGATAATACAATGTCCTGGAAATATTTCAAAGAATAAACTTTTAATGCTTTTGGCCAAATTTACTTCACTGATCTTATTTTATGTACATTTGTAGAGTGGTTTTGATGGATGAAGAGGAAATAAAAGGGTTGGGCTGTTTTTTGTTTTTAAAATAATTCTCTGCTTAAAACAAAGGAACTAAATGTAAGTATGAGTTTTCAGTTCTTTACTTCTTCTGGGTCTCTATTGTTTCAGAGGCTCCAAAACACTTTTCTTATGTATTTACTTAAGATGAGATAAGAAACTGATTTTATACTATGTGAGCCAAATTTCAAATTTCATATGGGTTAAAAAATAATAAACAACAGGGATAATCTAATATCCCCATAAATTATTTTAGAAGCATAATAATCATGTCATACTTTATGGCTGGGTTAATGTCTTCTATATATTTTTTTTTCCTGTTCATTGAAGGTTCACGCTGTAGACCTAAAATTTTTTTAAGGGCAAGTTAAATAGACTGAAGTGTGATTGACGCAAGATACATATACAAATAATAAGGATACTGTTAAGAGTACATGTTAAGCTTAAAAGACAAAAATGTCAGTTACATTTTGAGTAGGTTTTCTACAGCTATTTGTCTGAATAGAGAACTCCAGTGAAACAGAACAAGGCCCTGATAGAACTCAAGCCTAGCATGAGAAAAGGGAGCAAGAGAAAATGAACTCTATTAGCTAGGAAAAAATACACTGGGGAGAAACACTAGTTCTCAGGAAAAACATCAGAGATTCACCATGGAGTATAATTCAGAAGCCACTGACCCTGATGGGAACTTAGCGGAAGCACAGATTGTCACTTGTCTTCATTTACCACCACAAACATCATCACGGTTTTCCTGATGTTTTGTTGCATCATTTAAAGTTGAAGGTGATAAGAAACTTCTTGTCAAAGTAAATATTGAAGGTTTTGGATGGTAAAGAAACAAAACCCCAACACATTAATTAATCAACTCATCAACTGATCAATGTTGGCATGCAAAATGGGAGGCAAGCCATCTCTTATCTCTTAAAACATGCTGAACTGCTGATAATAAATGACACCCCAACACACACACACACACTTTTCCCCTCTCTCTCCCTCCCCCGCCCCCAACCACCACCACTACCACCACCACCACCGTGATCACTCAGCACTAAGGAGATTCTTTTATAGAGTTTTTTTTTTTCATACATACCGATTTTTCATCCTGGTTTGCCCAAGTATCATGACCAAATGCAAGTTGACTAACACATACCACGAATCTCTCAGGAAATATACGAAGTTCTGTGCAAAACAAAGGAGAACAAGTTACTAAAAGCATCAACACCATGCAAAAGGAAATTATTGTTGATTTTTCTTATGGCAATATATATAGCACATACATGTGACTGGGGTCTCCTTTCCCTTCTTCTCTCTACATGATTTTAACCACTTGGGCAGAGTGAGTTCTAGGAAGGGCCAAGAGGTTGCAAACAGGTCTGAATTATTTTAGCACATCCAGGTAGGCTATTATAATTGTTCTCTATGTTAGCATGCCCTTTTCTGTTCAGAACTCCTGTTTGGGGAGAAATATCAATGTTTTCTAATCAGCATACAGACTTAAAGAAAACAGATGAAGAATGTGAGATATAAATCTAAAAACGAGACCCATTCATATATTCATTGTCTTCCTAGCTCTTGGAGTGAACTAAAGGGCTAATTCTGTACCAGAGAGCAAGCTTCTAAGTTGAATTGGGATACAAAAACAACTTTTTCTCTTAGGAGTTGGATAGTCAATTAAGGGAATGGTTAAGTATGCAACAACAGAGATGGCATTAGACCGTGTCACAGCAATCCACCTCTGAAAATTCTGACAGTAAAGCCATTGATTCCCAAGTAGGAACACAGAATGGAGCACAGAACAAGGACCCTTCAGTCAGTGATGTAAGCACAACATAGGCAGTTCCATCTCCATCACCTCTTCTTTCACCTGTCTTCTCTGTCCATGTGAACACCTACCAACACCATCCAACTGTGGGACCATGTCTAGACTGATGTGTAACAGATACAGAGAGTACCAATCTCCACTGAATGGGGAGGATTCTTCATCTCTTGGTACTTGCTGCATTGCTTGAATCTTTTTTATATCATACCCATGTATTGCTACAAAAACAATCATTGTTCTAAAACAAAGATTTCCTCTCAGATGTGAGCATGTTTTTAAAACAGACATATAAATCAGGTAAGTGAATCTTTTCAATATACTACATGTGGGAGACTGACTGAAACAGTAACACAGCTCCGTTTGGTTCCACTGTTAGTTAAGAACTTATGCAAACACACAGTATGAACACAGGTAATACCTTCTTACCACCTGCTAGGTCAGAGTATACCAAAAGCCTAAAAGAGCTGAGTTCCAGGAGTGGTTCTCCCCTGAGCCCTAGGTCACTGCTGTTTCTTTAGTAGCTACTGTTCTAAACCATGCACCTCATAACAACAGGTCAGATGTTCTAAGTAAAAGTTTCATCCATCTGCCTCACTACCTAACATGGATGCCCTCCATGACTTCAGCCATCTTGTTGCTCTGATCTCAAGTCAAACGGGACCTCCCATAGAAAGGTTTCCATGCAGGTGAAGTCATGGGTGTATCTAAAGTTTGACCCCACACTCCATATGGATGGGGCCTCTGATGGGTTTTGAAAAGCTCTACAAACAAAATTATAAAAATGGTTAATATTAATGCATTAGTTTTTGAAATAAATAATTGGGATTAAGTAAGTGGTAAGCAGCCCCTATCCTACTTTATGTAGGAAAAAAGGCCATAGAATTCAATTATCACTTCATCTATTTTAAATTTCTATTTTTCTTCTCAAAAATAAGAGTGATAGATTATGAATACTTTGATAGTCAAATCAATTTAAAAATTTCTTTTTTATCACTTTACTTGATTATATAATAATTGATTTGAGTTACTTTAATATTTAAACAAAGATTTCCATACCACAAATCCCCTACCAGAATGTAAAGCTAGATTGCATTGTAACAGATAAAAGGTTAGTTTTTTGACTAAGTGAGGTAAACAAATAGAAGATCCCATTGAGTGGCTACTATAGACGCTGGAGATATGGCTCTGTGGTTAAGAGAACTGGCTGCTCTTCCAGAGGACTTAGGTTCGATTCCTAGCACCCATCATGGTGGCTCAAGACCATCTGTAACTCCAGTTCCAAGAGAACCGTCACTATCTTCTAGTCTCCAAGAGTACCAAGCACAAATGTGTGACAAATATACATCCATGGCAGACCTCATACACAGAAAAGAAAAATAATCTATTTTTCTTTAAAAAGATGGTAATATATCTGATCAACATTTAAGAGTTAAGAAAGTACAGATAACCATGCATATTCTGTGAACAAACTTCCATAAAGTTAGTTTTTTTAAGATTCTGATCTATTCAGAGAGACTGGACATTATCTTCTTACCTTACTGTGGTTGATTGGACATGATATCACTTTTCATATCAGGACTCGTTCGTGCAGGTGAGAGTTGGGAGCTGGCCTCATTAAATACTTATGGAAGGTTTGCTGGCTTTGGCCTAGGAAAAGGCTTTCTCGGAATTTATTTGCCCCTTTTCAAGGGTTCTGGGGTACACTCACCCTGACAAAATGACTCATGTTCACCTGTTCACTGAGTCACTCTGAAATGTCACATGAAAATGCTGTGATATACCACAAAAGTGCACTGTGGTCCAGCTCTCTGTTCTCATGGGCAGTAAGCACAATGAATGGAGCAAGAGGGATCACATACTCTTTGAAATACTAAATGGTGTATTTACAGAAGCAAATAGGAATATTTGTTCTCTAATTTTCCTTTGTCCTCTTTTGGACAACTTGATTGTGAAAACATCTGATCTAGAAAATCAGATTCTTACCAGTATTCTGGGAGCTCTGGATACAACGAAGGCGTATTCCTCTCTTGAGGAAATAAGCTGTGATCTGAAAGCCATAACCTGTAAAATGAAAGTGATATCGTTAGATTATAAATCAGATTGAGTAGCGAGACCCTGCCCAATGCCTGTCATACAGCATGTACTCAATAATTAACAAGTAAAAGAATGAACAAACTAATAGAGACTTCACACGAGTGGGGAGAGAATGTTATTATACTGGCTCTTGTAAAAGGTCTAGGTCTGGAAGTGGCTCAGTCACTTCATCTGTAAAATGGAACAAATGAGGTCTAACATGTCTGAAAATTAATGATTTCACATGAGTGAAACATTAAGTCTAAAGTGAGGCAGTTCTATTGATAGAAGTAGAAATAGGCACAGCCATTTTTAAAGAGTACTCAATACCTAAAGTTGAACTTACATAAATATGTATATTTTTATAATAGCATTCTTCGCTGGTCGCAAACTGAAGTGAAGATCCATCAAGAGTACAATGTTTTTAAATCATATATGAAATATGTGAAATACTGTGCTTCCCAGAAAAACGCATAAACTTTTAATCTTATCTGTGAAGATGGAGACCTTGCCATTGACTCTTCAGGTCAAACAGAACTTCAGGCAATCCACAGAAAGCATGTGCCTGCCTTTCCCCTCCTTTCTTTTGTACCTCTCCTCCAGTTTCCCCTGGTTTATAAAATACTGGGTTGAAGACTTTTCCTGAGAAGGTCAAGTAACTGTGCTTGTAGTTACCACAGAGACATGGGGTGAGAGTTTTCCAGAACTGAGCCAACTCAGAAAGGTGCAAAGTCTTCGAGACAGAGGGACTGAGAACCACCAGAGAATCCACAGGGAAATCAAGTCCTTGCTATTTTTAACTCCATGACAAAGGATGCTCTGAAACCATGTGCGTAGTTAAAATACAACCAAGAAGATTTCCTCTTTTATATGTACTAGTCTTCCTACCACCCTGCAAACAGGCTCAGGACAGAGGAGAGCACAGACATGATGCTTTATCTAAACATGCAACGGCTTTGACAGCACAATGCCTTGGCCATGCATATTGTAAAATGACAGTGACATACACCAAAGGATAATCTCCAGATTTAAGAAGATCAAATACATTTTTCCAAACACAGTAAAAACCAGATTGCACTTCAGTCACACTGCTTACTTCAGCTAAGTTTTTAAAAATATGTACAAAATTGGTATTTCTCTGAGTGCTTTAAACAAGCATTTTGTTCTTTAGGTCTCTGAGAAAATGGAAGCCACAGCATCTGTTTATTTGCCATACTGTTAGGGGAGGAATCATTATAGGAGAGGAATTTGTGGCAATTTGGAGCTCAAGGACACATCAGGATTTAGAAGTGAATTTTCACATAATTATGAGTCTTACAGAGGACTAAAGAACCAAGAGAATGCACAATAGTGTTGGCTTGTCTGTAAGGCTCAATTCTTCCTGACAAAATGTCAGCAACAAAAAATTATGATCAGGAAGTAGCTAAAGGGAAAGCTGATCATGAAAGGCACTGCTCTAGGCCATGAAATCTGTTACCTGGAAGATACTACCAACCCGATGAAGAAACTCTTCACCAAAAAGTCCAAACCAGTAAATAAACCTATGCAATAAAAATTTTAAAAAAGGCCTCCTCCTATAGAAAAATAATACAAAGCATATTCCAAGCAGTTTGTTAGTGAAATCACTAGGACAGAACCTGGCCCTGCAAACTATGTACAAGAATCACTCGTCAAGTGGCCAATATTAGCAGCAGTGGTGTTAGGAAATGCAGCCTAATAGCCCTTCAAGTGAAATGGTAGGTTTAACATGTTAAAAAAAAAAGATTTGCACCTGCTTAATCTAATTCCATTGGTTATATGAAACTTTATTGTTTAAAGAGAAATTTAAATACACATGGCACTTGTGTCAGTTCTTAAGGCAAACTAAACTTGATATCTGAAGAGAGAAAATTACTGCCAACTGAAACATACTGAGTAGAAATGCTCTGGGAGATGTATTCCTTTTCCTTAGATAACAGAGAGAGATAAAGACCTCATTCTTATCTTTGTCCTTAATGCAACTGAGTTTACAAAGTTCAGTTGGCTATTGAGGCTTTGTATTTACTTAGGGTTATGCCAAGGCTCTACCACTCTGGACAGAACACTAACAGGGCAAAGAATCCAGGGGCTCTGTTTCTTCCCCTCCATGCAGTACCATGTGCCAGCTTCCTATACTTAAATTCGAAATGCAGAAAACCAAGTTAGGTTCTCCGCCTTTGTCAGAGAAGTTTCTCATTGCAGCAGGCCATGATTAATACAGAGACTCATAACTAGCAGAACTTCCAAGAATAGGATATGGTAGAGTGCTTAAATGGGTCATTGATACTATCCCTTCCAAAGTTTAGGCAATTATGGAAGAGGGAGAGAAAAGACTGGAAAGGATGGAAGAAGGGTGCATGTTTTGAACAACATCTTGTGGACATGACATGGACATTATACTCACGAATACTCACTAGAGCTATGGCTACCTGTACAAGATCAAACCCATCAACATTTTATCATTAAATGCAAAGGCACATGAGGCCCCATCCTTTCTTGAAATATAACAAACAATTAATGGTTGTGGAACCGCAGTCACTATCTTCTGTGGGATAACTTTTGCGGACTAGTCCATGCTCCAGTAAATAACCTTCTACCTATGCGCTTGTAAGCAATCCTAACAAGCTCAGTGAGTAATACACGAAGAGAAGACATTAAAGTAGGAGGGGGATTTGGGAAGGATTTCAGCTGGAGAAGGAGTTGGGGGAGACGGAAGGTCGGAGGGAGGTTGTGTTGTTGCAATGACTGAAATTCACTGGATACATGAATAGAGCTGCAAAAGAGTAAAACATAGGTTAAAAAGAACCAGTCAGGAGACCGAGGACAAGATACACAAGTAGGAGATGTGTTTTATTTGAAAATCATCTGGCAATCATGGTATAAAATCACTAGGTACTGGGAAATCACACTTGAGTAGTCTGTTTGCTCACTAGCTATCCTCTTTCACTAAGGAACACTGTCTTTAGAGTTTAGAAGAACAAGGGGTGTGTGGGAGGAGGTGCCTTTGTAATAGAAGTCTCTCTCCATCACAAATCCCCAGCTATATTCATTCCCAGACATAATTCATATTTCTCAGTTAACTACTGCCATATGATTGCCAGATACTAGAAAGTACATCTTTTTTTTTCTCACCTCGAAGCAGCCTCCAAGAATGTTCGGCTCTTTCACTTCTTACATCCCATGCTTCTTAAGTAAATCATGTTGATTCAATGTTCTTCTCTGATGTTTTTCTATCTACCTACAAATACCCTCCAACTCTCCACTGAAGGTTCAAATGTAGACCAGTTACTGCAAACTTTCTACTGGGCTCTATGAGTTGTTAACAAAAAGTATACAATTTTTTAAAAATATGAATACTTTGTCTTACACTGTTCCACTCTATCATCAATAGAAATATAGAGACTCTAGGCACTTGAAAGAGAGTTGACAAGAATGGTTGGTCTCTAGGTCACTTGCTAATAATATCCTGACCCTATGGAACTTCTTGAGCTGGGCCACCATAGTTCTAGTTGCCTTCAGCATTGCCTGCCTTGCTAGTCCAATGTCCCAAAGTCTTTCATATTCTTCCAACCAATAGCATGGTCATGCCTGTCCCAGAAATATACCCCTCTTGGTACCAACTTCTGTCTTAGTGCTGTGAAGAGTCATTATAATCAAGGCAACTCTTATAAGAGAAAGCATTTAATTGGGGGCTTGCTTACAGTTTCATAGGTTTAGGTCATTACCATCATGGTAGGAAGCATGGCAGCACTCAGGAAGGCATGATGCTAGAGAAGGAGTTGAGAGCTACATCCTGATAGGCACGAAAAGAAGGTGGGGGAGGGGCTGAGTAAGCAAGACTGAGCCTGGGCCTGTCATGGGCTTCAGAGCAATAGAACAGTGACTAAGACAGTTTAAAGGAATGGCTATTTACATTGGTTATTATAATTTATAGTGCCAAGTCACTGAGAGAAAAGAGCTTCTTGAATTGCTGTAAAACTACTCAGCCTCATTAGTTTTCCAGTGGACTCACAGCCAAAGTGACTTGAGAATCCTGGCAGCTGCCAAGGGAAGTTGGTAGTGCGATGTATAACACAGAAGTTCCACCCTCAAACAGAGACCATGGAAGAGGGAGGCTGGGAGAAATATCTCCATGTTCCCTGATGAGGGGAGGGGATTGCATGGCAAGTACGCACTCCTTTATAGGTTTCTTATGGAGCCCACCCACCCAGTGCATGGCTCTCTTCCAGCAAAGTCCCCTCCCAAAGCACACGACAAATTCAGTGCTCATATCCTTTAAACTTCTGTCACTAAACAGACATCTTCATTTAATTAGGTAACCATTAAAACTTCAAATATCCAGAAAAGCAAACCGAGTGCTATGAAGTCCCCCAAATTCCACCATCTAGATTCAGTAATGAGTAATGACTCATCTTTTATCATATTTCACCAACATACCTTTTAAACTATGTCCACATAAGTTAGACATCATGAAGACTTACTTTGCTAATGTGAGTATGAGCTCTAAGCAATCTGGTCTGCTTTACTATCAAAATACTATAGACTGAGCATACTGGACCTGAAAATTCAAACCGCCTCAAAAAGCTGAAAATCTTTGACCATTGTCATGATGACCAGAAAGTGTCATCCTTTGGAGCATCACAGAGTTCTGACTTTTAAATGAGGCATACTCGAACAGTAAAGTCTACATAAAAAAATCCAATATTCTGGAAACCTGAAACACCTCTAGTCCCACAAATTTCAGATAACAAACACAAACCCTGCAGTACCACAGTTAAGCATGACATTATGCTCAGATAGCTACTTGAAATTCAATATTCTCCAGTGTTCCAAAGTATAGACTGAGCTTCCTCCAAACTCGGATCTAAACAAGTCATTTTTGACAGGTATGTTCTCTGATTTCTCCTTCAATTTTAAATAATTTTCTTCCACACCCTCACTTTTAAAACTACAAACTTACAAACTGATTG